AGTACCTTGGAGACCAGCAACCAGGCACCGGAGAGGCTTGTTGGGTGAGACTGAGACATGGCAGCAGGTCCCAGCCCCCTGGGATGCACATTTATTTTAGGGCAAGGAAGGCCTGTCCTCACCCCAGGCCGTGTCCACGGCTGGGTGGGGTCCCGGGGCCACGCGTCACGGAGCCTGCTACTGCAGAGCGGACGGCAGGAGCAGCTGGTACCCCCTAGGACCGCCTCGCTTCAGCTCCAGGCGGGGCAGGAAGGACTCCTAGAGTGAGAGGGAGGACCAGCTGGGCGCGGGATGCAGGTGGGGGCTCTGGGCAGGAGACAGGGCTCCGGGACCCAGGGCGGATTCTCCACTCAGCGCTGGGGGCAGACACTCACCCCATGTTACAGATGAGGAAACATGTGGAGCTGGGATCTGAACCAGGCAGCCCAGCCGAGAGCCACCACTTGGCCAAGCGTGTAGTGTAGGGAGGCTGTACCTGCCCCCCGCCCCACCAGGCAGGGGCTCCAGGCTGCCAGCCGCGCAGGCACTCACCAGTTTCTGGCCCCAGGAGCAGGGCGACCTGTCCACCTGGTCGAGAATGTCCTGGGTGCCCAGGAAGGCTCTGTGGTCTCGTCGCCACCTCTGGGTGCTGCTCGAGAGGGTGTCCTCAGAGAGGTGGCTCTGCCGCCCCAGGTTGGGCCTGAGGGGCACAGTGGCCTGTGAGCCGAACGGACCCCAAGTCCCAGGGCCACCCATGGCTGGCGGAGCCCTCAAGGGCCCAGACCCCGGGCCTGCCCACTGCGGACGGGGCGGTCTACAGGGTGAGGAGGGACAGCCTGGCAGTGCACGCGACCCCGCCCTTCCCGGGAGCCTCACAGGCCGGGGCAGTCCCAGCTGGCCCTGGCGCTGGTCGTGGCCCCCTTCTGGGGCTTGGAGTCCAGGGTGTTGGGCAAATTCTCCAACCACCTCCTGATGCTCCCAAACACGGGCTCCAAGCTGTCCGACGAGGGGGCTGGCCGGGCTGGCCGGTTCCTGTTGATGCCCTGCTGGACTAGAGGAGGGAGGGCACCATGAGAGCTCTACCCGGAGGGGCACTCCCCGCCTCCGCCCCCCCAGCTCTTCCCTGCTCCCTCTGACAGGCAGGGCGGGCAGAGCCCGTCTCCATGGAAACCCAAAGCTCCCTCTCTGGCTGCCTCCAGAGGACGCTCGCTCGCTCCGGTTCTAAAACTACCTCGTGTGACTGTTTCTGACTTCATTACCCAATCCGTGCCCCACACCCACTCCTGCTCCAGCCTGAAACAGCCCCCCTTTCTACAGAGGGAAGGCCAGCCACCCCACCATGGACACCTGAGAGAGGGTGTGACACTCCTCCAGGGATGGGGGGTCCTGGGGGCTGGGAGTCCTTCCTGCCAGAAGCTGCCCTTCCCATTGGTCAGGGACCCCGAGGATGGAAGGGGCTAGGAGGCAGCACAGAGCCCCACTCCAGTGCCGTGGGTGCGGGCACAGCTCCCATGGCTGTGGCTGGTGGCTGGCCAGGAAGCTCTCCCATGCCAGCCAACTGCCATTTACATGGGACCGTTTCTCCGGGCGCCTCCTCTCCCTGGATCCCCACAGTGGCCGGGTCCCCTCTGGCTTCTCCTCTTGGCTGCTGTGTCATCTGTTTTGGGGGCCTTGGCTTCCCCATCAAACAACCAGAGGTTGGGCAAAATCACCGCTTCTACCTGCAACTCCCTGTGAGCCTCGGGGAGCCAGGGAGGGTCCCCCCTGAACTGGCGAAGGTCCTGATTTTTAGGGCTTTCCCTACAGCTAGGCTTTGGGCCAGCTGTGTCCTGGAACTGCACACAGCAGGTGCTCACACAGACAGATCCTGAGAAGAGAAGAGGCCGGGCGGCTGGAAAAAGGGGCTTTGGTGAAGGGTCTACCAGGGCAAGGAGAAATGTTCTTCCCGCCTCCTGACACCAGAAAACACCGGAAACCAGGCCAGACCGACAGACGGCCACGCTCATCCCTGAGGAGCTGAGCAAACTTCTGCCGGGGACCCGGGCCTGCTGGCTCCCCGCTTCTTGGCCAGACCAGGGGGTGCCCATCTTCCCAGGAGAGAGGCTGAATCTTCTGGACCTTTCTGGGCACCTCCTCCTCCAGGTCCTTTCACGAGTAAGGGAAGGAGATGGTCCGGTGCCTTCCCACCGTCTCCAGCCCCGGAGGCCTTGTAGGGGCCAGACGAGGGGCGGGAGGCCGTGGGTGCCGGTTCCGAGGGGGCAGATGCGGCGTGTTGGGAACCCTTGGCAGCAAGCAGTCCTTCGGGGGTGGCGAGGCCTGGGCAGCCAGTGTCTCCTGCTCCAGCACTGCTCTGCCTGGAGCCGCCTGCTTTGGGACACTTCTCCTGGACCTCGGACTTGGTCCCTGAAGGTCACCTGACCTCCTCCGCCAGCTCGGGCACCTCCTCTGCAGGGCCCGTGGCCTCTGAACCTTTGCAGCTGGCACCTCACTCCCAGACCCAGGGCCACAGCCTCTGCTCCCCCAGGGCCAGGCTGGAACTTTCTGGAGTCCCGTCTGCTTACGTGCACATCTCCGCTCCCAGTAGCGAAACGCTGTGTCCTGTAGGGTCTCGTCAGCAAATCGCACTCGGAAGGGGCTACACCGCCTGTTGTGCCCCGAGGCTTCCTCCGAGGAGCTGCGGTTGAGCGCGGCCTTGAGCTTGGGGGCCTGTAGACCGCAGGGACTGTGGAAGGAGGCAAGAGTACAGGGGCGGGCTGGGGCCTGAGCCCCACTCCGCGTCCCAACAACACTCCACCGGCTGCCAGGCACAGCAGCCGGCCTCTCTGAGCACTTCCTGCCTGCAGGCTCTGGGCCAAGCATGTAGCGCGCAGCACCTGCCGAGCCCACACAACTCCATGACACACAACAACTGTTCCCATTTTGCAGATGAGAAAACCAAGGCACAGAGGTGCCCTGCAACTTGCCCAAGGTCACACAGCCAGTAAGGGTTGGAAAGCAAGATTTGAATCCTCCCACATAGGGCATTTCAGCACAGAGACGACGGGTGTGAACTTGGGAGTCAGGCAGTCCTGGGTTTCAATGGGAACTCTTGAAGGTACGTGTTGTTGTTTTTCAAATTTTTTGTATTGATTTCAGAGAGGACGGGAGAGGGAGACAAAGATAGAAACATCAATGATGAGGGAGAACCATTGACCGGCTGCCTCCTGCACACCCCCCAGGAATTGAACCGCGACCTCCTGGCTCATAGGTCTATGTTCAATCACTGAGCCACGTTGGGTCGGGCTCGAGCTCTGGGTTTTAATCTGTACAGGGAACCCAGGTCACGCCCATCGTGAGGGGCTGTGAAGAGGTGGAGTGGACTGCAGGCGCCTGTCAAGGTCTGCAGGGCCGGAGGTAAACATCTCTAATGGGGAACTGTCCTTATTGTCAATGAAGGTACGTGTTGTTGTTTTTCAAATTTTTTGTATTGATTTCAGAGAGGACGGGAGAGGGAGAGAAAGATAGAAACATCAATGATGAGGGAGAACCATTGACCGGCTGCCTCCTGCACACCCCCCAGGAATTGAACCGCGACCTCCTGGCTCATAGGTCTATGTTCAATCACTGAGCCACGTTGGGTCGGGCTCGAGCTCTGGGTTTTAATCTGTACAGGGAACCCCGGGCACGCCCATCACGCGGGGCTGTGAAGAGGTGGAGTGGACTGCAGGTGCCTGCCAGGGTCTGCAGGGCCGGAGGTAAACATCTCTAACGGGGAACTGTCCTTATTGTCAGTCAGTCTCAGCCATGCCCGCCCCACCCCACAGCAGTGAGATCTTGGGGAGACTGTCCTTAGGTCTCCACTTGCAGCTTTCCCCTTTAAATGACGTATTACATATTATAGACACGATAATAGCATCCTTACGGGAGTTTGGTGAGTATCAAATAGCTTGGGTGAGGCATCTGTGCTCCATAAAGGGGATCTGTTCTTGTTACATGTATTGCTATTAATTTTGTCCTCAAGGCCAAGGCTGTAAGAGGCCTGCCTGAGCCACCCATGGCTCTGTTATTCAGACACACCATGTTCGACCGCAAGTACGTACATATTGATATGCCTGCATCCACTTATCTGACCGTATCTTCCTGTCTGTGTGGGCCCAGAGGGGATGCTTCTCATCTGCCACTAAAGAGCCAGGCGGGCAGGAGACGCGCCAGGCGGTGCCTGGCTGCAGGCATTGGACCTTCTGTAGCCAATAGCTGTCGGCATATCAGCACCCGCTCGATGCCGGCCGTAGGGCCAGGCCGAGTCATAGCCAGCTCTGCCCACAGTTTGAACCCTCCGCTTCTCCGCTCCTGTTCTAATGCACCCTGGCCTTCCCCCCACCCCGGGCCCACCAGGGAGCCCCACCCACTGGAAGGTGCGTGGGGATTAATTAGCTCCTGAATATGGGACTCTTTGAATGTGTCCGTCCCTGCTGTTCTCACACTGGAGATCATGAATGCCATACTCTTATTCAGTGGTTCTCAACCTTCCTAATGCCGCGGCCCTTTAACACAGTTCCTTATGTTGTGGTGACCCCCAATTTCATGGTTACAAATTGAACATAATTAAAGCATAGTGATTAATCACAAAAACAATATGTAATTATATATGTGTCTTCTGATGGTCTTAGGCGACCCCATGTGAAAGGGTCGTTCGACCTCCAAAGGGGTCTCGACCTACAGGGTGAGAACCGCTGCTCTTATTTCTTATATCTTATGAGAAGCGGGGTGTCTACCTGGCCTGAGCGATTTAAAGCTCCCGGGTTGGCCAATGTGTTTCATTTCTGGCACCTATTCTGATCCATCAGGGGTGTCTGCAAGGAGTGTGGGGTCAGGAAGGGTTCTGAGGCTCTGTGGGGGAAAAGTGCGGTGATCAATTAGTACTGCCTGCCACGGGTCCGGGTTAGAAAGATGGTATGTAAGTCATGTATTCACTCTCCCTGGGTCTTTACATTCATGGGCAGTCTTCACCCTTCACCCCTGTCTAATTCTGTTTAAGCTGGAGGATTTTCCTGCATTCTTTCCCCCTCCATTCCTCCAAGCTATGGTTTCTAAGTCCCAGGGAGCTCTATGCCCAGGCCCTTCTCTTACCTCCATCCCTTATTTAATTTCCCCCAATACTCGACATATAGTAAAACCTAATAAATGGTAGAAGAAGAAATGGGTGAATGAATAGTGGACTGGGCACAAGGATGGAAGACTGGTGTGTGGGTAGGTGGATGGATGGACTGATGGATGAATTAATTAAAACATCTGAATGGAAGAACTAGAGTTTAGGGGGATGGGTTAGATGTATGAATGGGAGGATGAATAATTATGTAGATGGGTATGTAGACTTGTAGATGGCTTCATGACTAGATTGGAGATGGATAGTATCCTGGATTTATAAGTGGATAGAAGGATTTCTAGATAATTAATCTATAACTCGGATTCGTGGATAGAACTGTGGGAATTTGTGAATAGATGAATGACTGACTAGATGGGTGGATGGAAGGATGGATTAATGAATAGGTTGTAGAAGACCTGGCTCATAGATAAGATGTATACAAGGATGGATGGGTGAATGGGAGAATGAATATATGAATGGGTTCAGGGGTGAATTATGAATGTGTTGGTAGAAGACCAGATTAATGGGTAGATGGAGTCATAGATGTTGATGGATGAGTCTTGAATGTGTTGGGAGAAAACCGGATTCGTGGATAGAGCTATGTAATGATGAATGAGTGGACAGGTGGGTGGACTCAGATGGATTATGAATGCTTTGGTGGAAGACCCGATGGTGGATGGACACATGGATGGATGAGTAGATGGATAGATAGGTAAGTTCATGGGCGAAGGGCAGAGGAAAGAAAAGAAAGATGCCCTCCCCCCCTTCCCTCTCCCTCCCACAGCTCACTTGTTGGCCTTTTTGGCCTCGGTGAATTGTGTGCAATCTCTCCTTAGCGGCCCCAGGGTAGGTATCTGATGGCTCGAAACCTTCCTGAGGTTATTCTGGAGGTTCGATGACTGGCTCGAAACCTTCTTGAGATTATTCTGGAGGTTCGATGACTGGCACCTTGAAGACAAATAGACCACCCCTGGCATGAGTGGTCAGGGTTCCCCACCCTCGGAGCAT